CTATGGCGATCAGAGAAGAGCTAGCACTTGCAGAGGACCTTTACCAAAGCCGTATTCATGTTGCATCTGATTGCAAGCAAGTAGTCGACTCTCTGAAGAAGGAGGACGCTTCTCCATATGGTGCTATTGTGCATGAAATAATAAGCCACTCTTTAGATTTTGATATATGTAAAGTTAGCCATGAATTTAGGAGCTTAAATTATGACGCTCACAACTTAACGAAGCATGCTCTATCTCTCGGGGATGGACGCCGTGTGTAGCTAGGCCACCCCGGAGATCTTCCTTTCGTCCATGTAAACATTGTGACGAATTAATAAAAAGTTTCGTGAGTTGTCTAAAAAAAACTTGCCAACCGGGAGCGGACATCGTGTGGCCATGCTCTGTTTTTGCAACCAGTAGCACACCAAGGTCGTCAGCTAATTGCATGATGTCTTTCATTTCATCAGTACCAACTTTGCATGCTCCCATTCTAAGGAAAGCTGCCTGTCACGAGGTTTGGAAACGAGGAAAATGATCATTCAGGGAAACAAGGATGCAATACGAAAGATAGGAAAATCACCTGCATTTCCAGGAATGATTGTTTTGCTCATATCATCCTTAGGCCCCGCATCGAATGGGTGTAAATTTCTACACCTTTATTTTGTTTTACAGATGTAAATTACCGGTCACAGCTGATTTTTCGCCTCAAAACAAAATGACCGATCCGGGCGTGTATTCTAAACCAGCCGGTGGGCCGGGATCCTTGTAAGGCGTGTATTTAGGATGTATAACCCACCATAATCAACGAAGACCTAATGTCACGGAACACGCGGTGGGCAAAGATCCTTAGAGCATCTACAACTGTATATAACAAATATGACGCCTCAAACGTCCGCTCGATTGTAGCTTCTTTTCAAGGTACATCGCTTCGTACAAAGAAGCTATAGGCGGTGGGCGGAATTCCTAGTGTTGGCTATATCAGACACAACTATCACAATGGCCCTGTTTGGATCCTAGAGCCGCCCTCCATTTATTTGGTTCGATCTGTCAAGTAGGAGTGATCGGGAGCCGAATGGAGTGAGCTAGTGAGCAACAAGTCAGCAAGAGTAGTCCATAACTAGATTTATTGGCGGAACTTATGATTAGTTCATAGCTAGATTTTGTACTATTTTATGTTAACAGAGCTGGCAGTGATGGTTAAAAGAAACCACTGATGCATTTTACATAAGAAAGAGAGTCAAATGTGAAGAACATTAACTGAATCAGAGTGTGAAGCTAATGAACTGGATCAGAACACCCTGTTCAGCCTCCTCTCTTGTTGCAGATGTTCTTGTGCAAGGATGATGTGGAGGAGTTAGCAAGCTCATTTGCATGGACAAAATAAAATTTATTATGTTTTGGACCCTTGATTTGTAAAGATCATTTGTTTATGTCAATTATGAGTGGGAGGAGGCCACATAAGAGCCGGCCACATCAAATCCGGCAGGAAATAGGGTCTAAAGTAGCCAAATGATTGAGATTGTCAATCTAACTCTACTATCCAAACACCTTTTGGGTTAGAGTTAGTTTTGGGTTAGTTCTGGGTTAGAATCTAACTCTAACCTCTAACCGAGTTAGAGTATCCAAACAGGGCCAATAGGCTAGAGTCATGGGAAGTGGGATATTTATCCACCCAACGCAGTGTCCACCATCAAATTGCTACCACCAATAACACCCAAAATATCATGAAAATACTGAACTGAATTGTATACCCGAGATTTACTCTCTTGGCGCTAGATCGGCTCGCCGCCGAAGAAGGAGCCAGCGGAGATGGAATTTCACCAAGTTGACGTGTACTACAATCACGCGGAACGTTTTCCTCCTTCCTTCTCCCACGAGCAACTCCCACGTGAGTCTTTTCCCGCCTCTGTCAACGCCGTCGCTGATCTCCCTCGTTTTCTATGGCCTTAGGGCCATGGTTGCATGATGGATCCCGATTATTATCGGTGGAAAGGCTCCTTCTTGAGCAAACCATCCATCCAACGCGTCGCTCGCTCTCCCTCAAAAAAAAGCTCGCTCGGATCGCCTCGTAGCCAGCCGCCGTCTCCCCAAAACTAGGGTTCTTTGCCTCCCACCGGCGCCGGTGCCGGTCCGTCCCGTCTCCGGTGGCCTTAGGGCCATGGAGGCGGAGTGGATCTCGGCCCATGCCGGTGGGAGGGTTTCGCTTTCATATTTTTTTTCGAGCTTTGTTAGGGTTTATGTCCTGTTCAGGAAGGCGAGATGGCGGCGGCTCCTTGAAGATAGAATAAAGGTCTCCCCGTCTAGTCCCCGTTCCGATGATGTGTGTAGCATCATCGGTGGGCGTGTGGAGGTGTGTCTCCAGCGGATCTGTCTTTGGTGGATTTGCTCGGATCTGTTCGTCGTTCGTCTTCGTTCGTGTGTCTTTAGGTTGGATCCTTTTGATCTACACTCTTCATCTGCGGTGGTTGCTGTTCTGGTGCATTGGTTCCATGGGGCCTTAGCACGACGACTTCCCGACTGTCTACTACAACAATGTTTGCCCGGCTCTGTCGAGGGAGGGGCGATGACAGCGGCGCGCCTTCGGCTCGCTTCAGTGCTTGTAGTCGTCGCTTGGTGGTCTACGGTTCTAGATGTAATTTTTATTATTTCTAGTGTCCGTTGTACTACCATGATTGAAGATGAATAGATTGAAAGTTTTTCCGCAAAAAAAAGGAAAGGCTCCTTCTTGTTTTTAGGTGTTTTTTAAAGTTTTTTAGGGTTTCTGTTCTACTTAGAAAAACGAGACGACAGTGGCTCCATGTAGATGGAATAAGGTTCTCCCTGCTTAAAACCCGTCCCGGTGATGCACCTAGTATCGTTGGAGGACGTGTGGAGATGTACCTCCAGCAGATATTGCGGGATTTAATTGGTGATTATCTTTGATGGATCTACTTTGCTACAGTCTATATTCGCATGTGTTTATGTGTGTGCAGGTTGGATCCTTGCGATTTAAATTTCTCTTCATCGGCAATGGTTGTTCTGGTGTGTTAGTCCTTTAGTGCATCTCCAACGCCGACCTGCAAATTTTCTCCTGCATCCGTCCGCAGACACGAATGCGGGAGGCGACCATCCAATGCTGCCCGCATACATTCGGCTTCCTTAATTTTTTTGAAAGTCCAAATGTTCAAATAGCCGCATACATAGAGTACAATTGTTCAAATAGCCACACATAGAGTATAAACGATCAAATTGCCGCATGCAACAGTAATTCAAATTTTAAAAAGTTTAAATATTACATTCCCACGATGTCCTTCTATAAGATGACGTAGTCATCACATGACCGAACGCCATGGTACAAATGATCGAATACAGTCTTGCGCATCCGAACGCGTCGATGAAAATAGTCAACGAAGAGTGCATCGGGGAAAAATAGTCGTCCATCAGTGTCAAATGGCCGCACGACCTGTTGCGGTGGAGCACTCGCTGACCCTTGATCGTTCCCTTGAAATTAAGAACATGCTCCTCTACACGCTCCGGCGTCTTCAATAACCGCCTGCATCATCGCCGACTCATCCGTGTAGTCCTCCTTGTCGGAGGAGCCGTTGGACGACTCAACATAGTGCTCGTATATGTACTCCAAATCGGAATCCATTGCTTGAAAGAAGGGACGACTTTTTTTAGCTCCGACAATTCATCGAACAGTTGTCGGGCACGATGAGTATAGTGGTAGCGGATGGTACATGTCAGAGCGATCGGAGGAGAGGGGTTGAATGTCGATGGAGGAGATGTGGGGTTGAGCCCGACTAGAACACTGAAGGTGACGGAGACGTAGAGTTCCAGCAGGAGTGGCGTGGCGGCCGGGGTGGTGGAGCGTGGGCGAAGGCGGGAGAGAAAGAAGGAAGGAGAGAAAAATGAGGAGGATGGAGGCTCGGGGTCCGAGAAGGGTTTTGGGTGGGCCAGGGTGGTCAGAAACATGTGTGGCTGCTAACTAGACTCCCGCAAAGCCCTTCCCCCTTCTGGACTTATCGGCGAACCGATACAGGCCCACTTTGGATGGCAAACCGCGTTCCCACCGGTCAGTCCGGACAGTTGCGGGCGGTTTAAGGGTTCGCGTTGGAGTTTCCCTTAGGGCCTTAACATAATGTTTTTTGTCTGTCTACTACAATAAGGTTTGCCCTGCTCTGATGAAGAAGAAGATGATTGCGGCGTGTCTCCGACTTGCTGCAGTGCTTGTAGTCATCGGTAGGTGGTCTATGTACATCAATGTATTTATTTATTTATTTTACTGCAATTGTGTTTGATGAATACAGTACATTGGAAGCTTTTCTCGTTTTTTTCTTAGAAATGATGGAAACCAGGCCATGCAAAGTAAGAGGTCCAGGGCCCAAGACGTCCCAAGCCCAAGCTTCGGCTTGCCTGCCCAAAATGGCCAGAGCCTCGGCAACACGTGCCGCGAACATGTCACAGAAGCCCTTTTGAAATTGCAGCCGAATAAAGAACACCCTGCGCACCTTCCCATTTTGTTTGACCGGACCCGACACAGAGTCCCGGATCTAGCAAAGCAACGAAGAAGAGTCCTCGAACCAGCCGCAGCAAGCGACGAAATGTTCAGAGTCGTTGGCGCTGGGCCGCACACCACACCGCACCGTTTCAGAGACAACGGGGGACGGGGGACGGGATGCCGCCCCCCAGCGCGCGCGCGCTCCCCCAGCTAGTGCGCCAGCCTACCTACCGTTGCACACCTGCCGCAGCGTCGGAGCTCTCTGACCGCGCACCACCTAACCTAACCCGGCCACTTCTTCTAGGTTCATCCTTCGCCACCAAGCCGCCGGCAGAGGCACCAGAGCGCTATATAAGACGCCGAGTCCGTCGCAACCAACAAGCCACACACGCCAAGAGGCATTCCCCGAGCCAGCGATCTTCTCGCCGCACTTCACACAGTTGCTCGTGCACGTGCCACGCCCCGAGAAACCGTAACTTACCACGCAGAGCTAGGCTCTCATTGTTTAAGTGAGATATTCACAGTCGCATCCGTCGTCGAGATGGTTGGGAGCAGCCCGATGCAGGCGGTGCTGGTGGCGCCGGGGGTGAAGGACAAGAAGGTGCTCGCGTTCCGCCGGGACGCGCTCAAGGAGAAGGACGCCGTCGCCGCGCTCATGCGCACCATCGCGGCCGGCGGCGTGCGGAGCGCCTTCTACGTCTTCGACCTCGCCCGGGTCGTCGACCTGTACCGCGGCTGGCGCCGCGCGCTCCCCGGCGTGCGCGCCTGCTACGCCGTCAAGTGCAACCCGGAGCCGGCGCTACTCGGCGCGCTGGCCGCGCTCGGGGCCGGCTTCGACTGCGCCAGCCGCAGGGAGATCGAGGCTGTGCTCGCTCTCGGCGTGCAGCCCGGCAGCATCGTGTACGCCAACCCGTGCAAGCCGGAGGCGCACCTCGAGTACGCCGCTGAGGTGGGCGTCAACCTCACCACCTATGACTCCGAGGAGGAGGTGGTCAAGGTCAAGCGCTGCCACCCGGGCTGCGAGCTCATCCTCCGCATCAAGGGCCCCGACGGTGGCGAGGCCCGGGTGGACCTCGGCACCAAGTACGGCGCGCACGCGGACGAGGTCCTGCCGCTCCTCCGCGCTGCCCAGCGCGAGGGGCTCAACGTGGCCGGCGTGTCATTCCACGTCGGCAGCGGCGCGTCCAACACGGACGTGTACCGGGGCGCCATTGAGGCCGCGCGCGGGGTCTTCGACGCGGCAGCCGGGCTCGGCATGCCGCCCATGCGCGTGCTCGATATCGGCGGCGGGTTCATGGCCGGCCCGGCGTTCGACGAGGCGGCCGCGGTCATCAACGCGGCGCTCGAGCGCTACTTCGGGGAGCTTCCCTGCGTGGAGGTGATAGGCGAGCCGGGGAGGTACTTCGCCGAGACCGCCTTCACGATGGCGGCTCGGGTCATCGGGAAGCGCACTCGCGGCGAGGTACGCGAGTACTGGATCGACGACGGCCTCTACGGCACCCTCAGCTGCATCCCCATGGACCACTACGTGCCGCACCCGAGGCCGCTCGCCGTGCCGCGCGCCGGCGAGAAGACGTACACGTCGACGGTGTTCGGGCCGACGTGCGACTCCCTCGACACGGTGGTGACCGGGTACCAGCTGCCAGAGATGAGCGTGGGGGACTGGCTCGTGTTCGACGACATGGGCGCCTACACCACCGCCTCCGGCTCCAACTTCAACGGCTTCTCCACCTCGGACATCAAGACTTACTTGGCCTACTCCAGCTGAACCTATGATGTGGTCACGTACTACGTAGCACACACCATTCGATTTGTTTTCGCAGTACACAAAATGAAGAGCTGTAATTAAGCTCGTACACAATGTATGTGCTTTTGTTTGTTCTATTTTTTATTTTAATTAGGTATATATATGTATCCAATGTGGCTATTCTTTTGTTTCCTGAAACGAAACTTTCTTTTCAAAAAATCAAGAAATTTCCAATCAATTCATCTTCAATCATGACAGTACAAAAAACAACAGAGATAATAAAAATTACAACCATGTTCGTGGACCATCTAACAACGACTACAACGACTACTACAAAGACTACAAGCACTCTCAGAAAACAACGACTACAAGCACTGGACCGAGCAGAAGGCGCGCCACCGCCATCGCCACTCCTTCACCAGAGCCAGCCAAACCTTGTTGTATTAGACAGTCGGGAAGTCATCGGGTTAAGGCCCCATAGTACCAACGTACCAGACTAGCAACCATCGTCGATGAAGAAAGTCGCAGATCAGAAGGATCAAACATGTAAACACCCGAATGAAGACACACATCCACACACCCTCTCACGATTTTAGACGCACCATCAGGACGGGGATAGAACGTGGTGTTGGGGAACGTAGTAATTTCAAAAAAATTCTATGATCACGCAAGATCTATCTAGGAGATGCATAGCAACGAGAGGGGAGAATGTGTCCACGTACCCTCGTAGACCGAAAGCGGAAGTGTTTAGTAACGCAGTTGATGTAGTCGAACGTCTTCGTGATCCAACCGATCCATGTACCGAACGTACGACACCTCCGCGTTCAGCACACGTTCAGCTCGATGACGTCCCTCGTGCTCTTGATCTAGTTGAGGACGAGGGTGAGTTCTGTCAGCACGACAGCGTGGTGACGGTAATGATGATGTTACCGGCGCAGGGCTTCGCCTAAGCACTATGGCGATATGATCGAGGTGTGTAACTGTGGAGGGGGGCACCGCACACAGCTAAGGCAAAACTTGGTCTTGTGCTTTGGGGTGCCCCCCTGCCCCCATATATAAAGGAGGAGATGGGAAGGCCGGCCGGCCCTTGCAGGGCGCGCCAGGAGAAGAGAGTCCTACTAGGACTCCAAGTCCTAGTAGGATTCCACCTGGAGGAAGAGGGGAAGGAAGGGAGAGGGAGAGGGAAAGGGGGTCGCGCCCCCTTCCCTTGTCCTGTTCGGAACCCCTAGGGGGGAACCTCCCCTATGTGGGCTGCCCTCTCTCTCCCCTATGGCCCATGTTGTCCCATTGCTTCCCCGCGGGGTTTCGGTAACCCCTCCGGCACTCCGTTTTTACCCGAAACCACTCGGAACTCTTCTGGTGTCCGAGTAACATAGTCCAATATATCAATCTTTATGTCTCGACCATTCCGAGACTCCTCGTCACATCCGTGATCTCATCCGGAACTCCAAAAAAACTTCGGTCATCAAAAACACATAACTCATAGTACAAATCGTTATCGAACGTTAAGCATGCGGACCCTACGGGTTTGAGAACTATGTAGACATGATCGAAACACATCTCTGATCAATAGCCTATAGCGGCACATGGATGCTCATATTGGCTCCTACATATTCTATGAAGATCTTTATCGGTCAAACCGCATAACAACATACGTTGTTCCCTTTGTCATCGGTATGTTACTTGCCCGAGATTCGATCGTCGATATCATCATACCTAGTTCAATCTCGTTAACGACAAGTCTCTTTACTCGTTCCGTAATACTTCATCCCGCAATTAACCCATTAGTCATATTGCTTGCAAGGCTTATAGTGATGAGCATTACCGAGAGGGCCCAGTTACGTTGTGACGTTTGATAGCACACAAGGTGTTCCTCCGGTATTCGGGAGTTGCATAATCTCATAGTTTGAGGAACATGTATAAGTCATGAAGAAAGAAGTAGCAATGAAACCGTAACGATCATAATGCTAGGCTAACGGATGGGTCTTGTCCATCACATCATTCTCCTAATGATGTGATCTTGTTCATCAAATGACAACACATGTCTATGGTTAGGAAACATAACCATCTTTGATTAACGAGCTAGTCAAGTAGATGCATACTAGGGACACTATGTTTTTGTCTATGTATTCACACATGTACTAAGTTTCCGGTTAATACAATTCTAGCATGAATAATAAATATTTATCATTATATAAGGAAATATAAATAACAACTTTATTATTGCCTCTAGGGCATATTTCCTTCAGTCTCCCACTTGCACTAGAGTCAATAATCTAGTTCACATCACCATGTGATTTAACACCAATAGTTCACATCTGTATGTGATTAACACCCATAGTTCACATCGCCATGTGACCAACACCCAAAGGGTTTACTAGAGTCAATAATCTAGTTCACATCGCTATGTGTTTAACACCCAAAGAGTACTAAGGTGTGATCATGTTTTGCTCGTGAGAGAAGTTTAGTCAGCAGGTCTGTCACATTCAGATCCGTATGTATTTTGCAAATATTCTATGTCTACAATGCTCTGCATGGAGCTACTCTAGCTGATTGCTCCCACTTTCAATATGTATCCAGATTGAGACTCAGAGTCATCTGGATCGGTGTAAAGCTTACATTGATGTAAGTCTTTACGACGAACTCTTGATCACCTCCATAACCGAGAAACACTTCCTTAGTCCTCTTAGGTATTTAAGGATAACTTTGATCGCTATACAGTGATCCACTCCTGGATCACTATCGTACCCCTTTGCCAAATTCATAGCAAGGCACACAACTGGTCTGGTACATAGCATGACATACTTTATAGAACCTACGACTGAGGTATAGGGAATGCCTTTCATTCTCTTTCTATTTTCGGTCGTGGTCAGGCTTTGAGTCTTACTCAACTTTACACCTTGTAATACAGGTAAGAACTCCTTCTTTGACTGATCCATTTTGAACTCTTTCAAAATCTTGTCAAGGTATGTACTCACTGAAAAATTCTATCAAGCTTCTTGATCTATCTCTATAGATCTTGATGCCCAATATGTAAGCAGCTTTACCGAGGTCTTTCATTGAAAAACTCTTATTCAAGTATCATTTTATTATGCTATCCAAAAATTCTATATCATTTCCAATCAACAATATGTCATCCACATATAATATTAGAAATGCTACAGAGCTCCCACTCACTTTCTTGTAAATACAGGCTTCTCCAAAACTCCGTATAAATCCATATGCTTTGATCACACTATCAAAGCGTTTATTCCAACTCCGAGAGGCTTGCACCAGTCAGTAAATGGATCGGTGGAGCTTGCACACTTTGTTAGCACCCTTTGGATCGACAAAACCTTCTGGTTGCATCATATACAACTCTTCTTTCAGAAATCCATTTAGGAATGCAGTTTTGACATCCATCTGCCAAATTTCATAATCATAAAATGTGGAAATTGCTAGCATGATTCAGACAGACTTAAGCATCGCTACGGGTGAGAAAGTCTCATCGTAGTCAACTCCTTGAACTTGTCAAAAACCTTTCGCAACAAGTCGAACTTTGTAAACAGTAACATTACCGTCAGTGTTAGTCTTCTTCTTGAAGATCCATTTATTTTCTATGGCTTGCTGATCATCGGGAAAATCCACCAAAGTCCACACTTTGTTCTCATATATGGATCCCATCTCAGATTTCATGGCCTCAAGCCATTTCGCGGAATCTGGGCTCATCATTGCTTCCTCATAGTTCGTAGGTTCATCATGGTCTAGTAACATGACTTACAGAATAGGATTATCGTACCACCTGGTGCGGACCGTATTCTGGTTGACCTACGAGGTTCGATAGTAACTTGATCTGAAGTTTCATGATCATAATCATTAGTTTCTTGACTAATTGGTGTAGGAATCACTGGAACTGATTTCTGTGATGGACTACTTTCTAATTCGAGAGAAGGTACAATTACCTCATCAAGTTCTACTTTCCTCCCACTCACTTCTTTCGAGAGAAACTCCTTCTCTAGAAAGGATACATTCTTAGCAATGAATATCTTGCCTTCGGATCTATGATAGAAGGTGTACCCAACAGTTTCCTTTAGGTATCCTATGAAGACGTACTTCTCTGATTTGGGCTCGAGTTTATCAGGTTGAAGCTTTTTCACATAAGCATCGCAGCCCAAACTTTTAAGAAATGACAGCTTTGGTTTCCTGCCAAACCACAGTTCATAAGGCGTCGTCTCAACGGATTTTGATGGTGCCCTGTTTAAAGTGAATGCAGCTATCACTAATGCATAACCCCAAAAATATAAGTGTAAACCGGTAAGAGACATCATAGATCACACCATATCCAATAAAGTGCGGTTACGACGTTCGGACACACCATTATGCTATGGTGTTCCAGGTGGCGTGAGATGTGAAACTATTCCACATTGTTTTAAATGAAGGCCAAACTCGTAACTCAAATGTTATCCTCCACGATCAGATCGTAGAAACTTTATTTTCTTGTTACGATGATTCTCCACTTCACTCTGAATTTTTTTGAACTTTTCAAATGTTTCAGATTTGTGTTTCATGAAGTAGATATACCCATATTTGCTCAAATCATTTGTGAAGGTCGGAAAATAACGATACCGCCACGAGCCTCAACATTCATCGGACTGCATACATCGATATGTATTATTTCCAATAAGTCATTAGCTCGTTCCGTTGTTCCGGAGAACGGAGTTTTAGTCATCTTGCCCATAAGGCATGGTTCGTAAGTATCAAATGATTCATAATCAAGTGATTCCAAAAGTCCATCTTTATGGAGTTTCTTCATGCGCTTTACTCCGATATGACCCAAACGGCAGTGCCACAAATAAGTTGCACTATCATTATCAACTTTGCATCTTTTGGCATCAATATTATGAATATATGTATTATTACAATCAAGATTGAATAAACCATCAGCATTGGGTGTATGACCATGGAAGGTTTTATTCATGTAAACAGAATAACAATTATCCTTTGTCTTAAATGAATAACTGTATTGCAATAAACATGATCTA